TCCTGGACCCCACCACAGAAATCACAATGAAAACTTGTATCCAGAGGAGGCTTGAGACAGCCAAAGCTACAGGTGGCAAAAGCTTTCATTCCAGAAAGCATTTCAATACCACAACCTGGAAAGGAAGGCCCATACGACCAGCATAATATGAAAGATGTGCAGTACTTATAGGAAATAATTCTATGCTTGCATGCATGTCTCGGAAAATTTTGGCAAAGACTGCTACCTTCTGAGCAAAATTGGACATAGAAATGACAATAACACATACTGGGTATTTATCACCTTCTTAAGAGATGCATAGCCATTTTCCTGTGGCTGAGACAGGGGTCTCTTTTAATGTTTAACATTTCCTTTAGGTTGGCCTAATGCCCAAAGGGAAGCTGTAATAATTTGTGTTTGGTAAAAAATTTCACAACGTCAATTTAGTTCAGTACTTACTGTAGTCCTTATATGGTCTTTGTACAACAGGTAATATCCCTGTTAATTTGAGAATTACTGTTAACCTGAACCTTTCCCATTGTTTTCAATGCTTTCTCTTAAGTGTCAGAAACACACCCAAACACACATTTTCCTAGACTTGTATTTTAGCCCTTCTATTGTGAATATTCATTAGGGGTGGTGTGACATAGTGCTTCTGGAGCCAGCCTGCCTGGGTTTGATTCCTGCTCTGTAATTTATTGACCTTGCAATATTGCGCAATTTAATTAACCTCTCTGAGCCTCAGTTTCACTATCTGTTAGATGAGGACGACAGTGTCTACTGAAGAGGGTTGTCCCGAGAGTACTTAGAACCATGGTTGGCACAAATGCTGAGGCTACATAATGTTCAGTTCTTTATCTCCTGCTTCTCCGGTCATAGGTGTTACTGTAAAAGTCCCCTTTCAGGAATTTGAGACCAGCCTGGGCAACATAGCAAGACCCCATCTCTAAAAAAGAAAAAAAAAATTATTAGCCCAGTGTGGTGGTGTGTACTTGCAGTCCTAGCTACTTAGAAGGCTGAGACAGGGAGATTGTTTGAGCCCAGGAATGCTAAGTTGCAATGAGCTAAGATCATTCCAATGCACTCCAGCCTGGGCAACAGAGCAAGACCCTGGCCCTTAATTTTTTTTTTAAGTGCCTTTGAATTTTGTTAAGACCTCAGAAGCTGCTCCATGAGTGGATGGTGCCGTGTTGTTGGAGCATGGGGGGGCAGTGACGGAGTTAAGATTTCTGGGAGGCCAGCAAAAGGGCTAGAATGTGCTTCAAAGTTTAGTTGGGCATGGTGGTACACACCTGTAGTTTCAGCTACTTAGAAGGCTGTGGTGGGAGGATCACTTTAGTCAAGTATGGTGGTCCACTCCTGTAGTTTCAGCTACTTGGGAGGCTGAGGTAGGATCAAGGGAGGATTACTTGAGCCCAGGAGCTTGAAGCTGCAGTGAGCTATGAACGTGTCACTGCACTCCAGCCTGGGTGACACACTGAGACTCCCGACTCTAAAACATATAAGTTCCTAACAGTCTGTAATAGAGGACGCTCAAAACACATGCCAGTGAAGCAAATGAACTCTTACTTCTGGAGAGAGAAGTTCAGTGTCAACAGGTGGCTGCAAAGGTCATGAGCATGACCCTGGACCAGGGAGGTTAGGCAGGGTCTCAGCCCAGCTAAGACTTCTTTTTGGAAACCAACATGGGGTCTGACAAGCTGTCTCAGTAACGAGGCTCTGTACTTTCTTCATTCTCCCCTTGCCAGATGGAGGCACTCCTGCGTAGCCGTGCTGCTCCCAGGCCCTGCTCTCTGAGAAGGACTTGGTCAAACACTGGATCTCTGGATCCTGGGAAGACAGACCAGTTATTTCAGTGCCTGGACCCTTCCTCTTTTCTGACCTAATATTTCCAAAAGCAAGTCCACTGTTCAGCCTTGAAAACAGCTGATTGTGAGAGGGAGCTTATCACAGCCCAACAGACTAAGAAAACACTTCAGAGAAAGAACGTTTGGCAGGTGCATTAAAATGCGGAAAAAAGAGCCCCCATTTTGGGGTACCTTCAGGACTTTCTAACCTTTTTGGGAAGTGAGTTGTTTTCTTGCAAATAAAACCTTCCATAGGGCCCAAGGTATAAAATCAAGTGCAGGGCTGCTCTATTGAAGGGGAGTCTATAGACGCTTCCACCTCCAAAGTGCAGGCTTTGGAGGAAACAGTTGTAGTGCATGTGGGACAAACAGAGGAAGCAGAGGCTACCTTCCCAAGGCTCCTCTCTTGGATGCATGCCCTGCATTTCTACAGCCTCTCTTTCCCTTTTCTTAAGCTTTCCTCTCATTCCATCTGAAAAGTCACTACAAGCACTAGAAGTTAGGCCAGAGGATAAAGACCTTGAAGAAAACTGAGCCTGACACCTAATATGGGATTGAGGAATAGAATGGAAAGGGGGGGAAATACAGTGGGGAGGTGAAAATAACATCCTTAGCTGAGAAATGACAGGATGAACACGTCAAGGCAGTCTCAACACTTTGAACGTTTTCCAAGAAGAGAGTAAGCAGTGGCTCTTGCTAAAGGAAGTAAATGGTGTCATGGCCAAGTTCTCTGCACCGGTGGTACACCTAGGAAGGCTGGCACTTGAAAGGCTCCTCCCTGCATGTACCAGATAGCCCCTGGTTACGGAGGCTTGTGCCTCCATGCACCCTTCTCAAACTGGCTACCCCATCCTCATAGGCTACAAGATTACTGGCAGGGAGGGACTGCAGATTCTACACTGGTTTGGAGTCCTGCTACTTTAGCCAGCCAGGTAAGGAGATGTTTCACTGTCCTGCCTTTATCATGAAGAAGCATGAGATCAAGGAAAATCTGCGTATATGAAAACTGAGGAATCCAGAAAGACACCACAGGATTCTTTCCACATGGGGTAAAACAAACCTCTCTGTCATTTTACAGAAAGTCTCCCCTAAGAGAAGAGAAAGGTCATTATCAGGACTGGATTTGTAAAACTCTGATGTCAGGTTATACTCAAACCACCTGAAGCAGAATCTCTGGGGGCAGTATCTAGGTACCAGTGCCAGTGCACTACCAAGCTGCAGAGTCACCGCTTTAGAAGTTGTTATGGAGGGAGGGAGGGAAGGGAGGGAGAAAGGGAGAGAGAGAGAGAAAGAAAGAGAGAGAGGGAGAGAGAGAGTTCAAAACTTGGAAAGAAGAAAGAGGACTGCATGTCTTTTTTTTTTTTTTTTTTTTTTTGTCATACTGTCACATCGTTTTCCAGGTCCACACAAAGATTATTGAACTACCTAGAGGAATATACCTCTGTTTGACCTTTTCCTTTCTATTGATTAGAACTCAGACACTGTTCAAAGTTAACCTGTACATTTGTATCCAGTACACATGCAAATGATTTATGTCCAGTAATAAAGAAAGCCCCTAAGGTTACAGTTATATCACCCTATAGGATATTATGCAGCTTTGTATCTTATTTAGAAGTCTATCTCTGATTGACAAAGTTCATCTAACATTCTTTTTTTACTGTCTGTCAATATGTAGTTCCTTTATTTTTCTTTGAATTCGCTTTACCATATTTTGGTTCCCTCATTGATAAACTGAATACATTTTGACATGAATTCATTATATTTTGTATAAAAGTCTTTTTTTAACTTTTTGAAAATTTTACTTTGAAAGTAGGCAACCACTTTTATATTCTTCATCAGTTCCCTTAACTTGCTCCAGTACCTGCACTCTGTCCCATATTGGTAACTCACTGCTGAGTTAACTCTGCCATATCATGATACCTCAGATGAGTGGTGAACCAGATCATCCAGTCAGTCACTCATCTCTGACTCTGTGGGAATAGAACCATGGAGGAGTATGTTTTGAAGAAACAGCATGAGTTGAGTAAAGCAATAACATGAAGGTAGGATGTTGAGGAGAATAATCTAGGAAGGGTGAGAGCAAATATGACAGCCTCTGAGGATGGAGGGGGAGAAGCAGAGTGCTCAACTGAAAAGAAGGTGATGGACACAAAGAAAATTAAATATCTTCTTCAAAATTTTGAACTGGGGTAAGCCTGCTCCTGTTATATAAAGATGAATGAATGAGGGAGTAAGAGAGGTTTAATCGGTTAGAGGCTGGATCAAATAGGCTCTACTGGTCTCACCTTTTGAGCATGCCTAACCTATTGGAGCAGCATTACAGGCAGCTTCAGGAGGAGTGACTGCCACCCAGTGTGTGCACCACCACATTCAGGGTTCAAAGTTGGACCTGATGATCATTGACCATGTCTTTTGCATTGACTATGACTTTGACAAAGTCATATGCAGGCTGGTTCAAAGGAATCACTGCATCTATTTGAAAATTCACTGGCTTCCCTGATCATTGTCCTACTTAATGACCATATGCTATAATGTACTGTGAAAAGTCACCCTACTTCCTTCTTTGCTATAGTTGGGAGACCACATTTCCTGTTACATTAGCTTCTGAGAGACTCGAGTGAGCAATCAAATTACAGATCTGAAGACAGGGATGCATCCCATTCCCATCCCTGACATGGATCACACACCAGGCTAAAGTCAGCATTTTTCAGATAGTTCATCAGCAATACTAGGAGACCTTTCCAGCAAGGTCACTATACCACTAAGGCAATCATGTGTGTGAGTGCCCCCAGCCAGACTGAGCTAATTCAAAATGAAGTAATCAGAGATAAGAAAAAGCCACTAGAATTATAAAAATATACACATCAGGTACTTTACCCAAGAAGAAGGGGACGTTTACTGGGAGGTGAAGGGAGTGCTCCAAAATGATAAGAAAAGTGAACTAGAGAATAAATGCCAAGATTTTTATTAGAAGTTAGGACAGATAATAGAACAACTTTTTTCTACTATAAAAGGAGTAAGAGGCCAACTAAGGACTCATCAGGGTTTTGCCAAGATTGGAAGAGCAGTCACTTGCCAGAGGAGTTGGACATTACAGAAAAGATGGAAGAATGTGTTTTTTTCAGTACTCACCAGGGAGGAAAACACACTGTGTGCCAAGGCAGAAGTGCTTACCTTACAGAAGAAAACGCAATCATGAAAACCATGGGGGCAAAAACATCTCCAGGAGGAAGAGGACTTGGAAGTCCATTTGGAAATACTCGAGCCAGGAATTTCCAGTGCTCCTGAAAAGAAGAGAAGTTTTGAGCACATGGGGCAAAAACGACTTCTATCTTTTTAGAGTCTCGATTCTTAGGGGTCAGGGACCAGGCACTGTCCCTAAGAACAAACCTTCTCATAATGATGGTAGGGCCTCATTGGCAGAGCTGAATGTCAGTGTTGGGTATAAGTTCTCTTTCTTACTGCCAAGTTTCATCATTTCTCTCCCTATTACTTGCTCCTTAAGCGAGTAGAATTGTGTTGAAAATTTGGTCTCAGACCAAGCAGAACTATTCAGAAAGCTGGGAATAAAGGCTTTTGCCAAAAGCGCATGTTCTCAGCTTCTACACCCAGCTTGGCACTAAGCAGAAATTTCCTGTTTAATCTGGCCCTATTAGGCCCCAGTACTCTGTTTCAGTGATTGGTGTTGAGGAAACTCATTAGCCATTGGGAAAATATTGTATTATATCTCTACCTCACACCATATAGAAAAATATTTCAAGTAGATTTTTTAACCATAAAAACACTGGAAGAAAATATGATCAAACATTGGAGACTATTCTTCCACCTATGAACTAAGTCTCAGCAAGAATAATGCACAAAGTGATACTGTAGATGCTGCAGATGCCTGGTTCAAGTACTGAGGGTCTTTTTCTTCTCTTAGGAGTGTGATATGCCAGTTTCTGCAGGTACTGCCACAAAACACTCTCTGGAGGTCTGTCCTTTGGCAGCTTATGCCTCCTGAGCTGGAAGTCTCTGTGAGCTCTTCTCCCTAGCCTCGTGAAGCTGAGGCTAGACCTAATCCAAACCCACATCCTTGCTTCTTCCCCTCTTGCATCCTAATTCTCTCATTTTACTTACAGTTTACTTGAAACTGAATCCTAATTCCCTTATTTCGCATACAGTTTTCAGGAAAAACTAATAAATCTCTTGGCAGGCAGATCACTTGAGCCCAGGAGTTTGAGACCAGCCTGGGCAACATGGCAAAACGTAATGTCTACAAAAAAATACAGAAAATTAGCCAGGCATGGTGATGTGCACCTGTAATCTCTGCTATTTGGGAGGCTGAGATGGGAAAATCACCTGAGCCTGGAAAGTCAAGGCTGCAGTGAGCCATGATTGTGCCACTGCACTCCAGCCTGCGTGACAGAGTGAGTCCCTGTCTCAAAACAAAACAAAACAAGCAAACAAACAGACATCTCCGCTTCAGTGTCTGTGTCTAGGAAACTCAACTCCTGATACCTGTCTTAACTAAATAAAAATGTAAATAATTATGTGGAACTATAGATACATTTAAAAAGTTATATCTGTATGTATGCACATATATGTGTACAAATCTATTTTGGTGTCGTGGGTTGAATTATGTTTTTCCCCAATTTCATATGTTGAAGTCCCAATACCTGGTTATGTGACTATATTTGGAGATAAGGCCTTTAAAAAGGTAATTAAGTTAAAATAATGTCCTTCGTGTAGGCCCGAATCCCATTTGAGTGGTTGGTGTCCTTATAAGAAGGGGAAATTAGACACAGAGGGAGACATTAAGGCACCAGTTCACAGAGGGAAAAGCAGTGGTCACAGTGAGAAGGGGACCATTTATATGACAACAAGAGAGACTCCAGGAGAAACCGAACTTGCTGACACATTGATCTTGGACTGCTAGCCTCCAGAACTGTGAGAAGATCAATGCCTGATGTTTAAAACACTCAGACCAGGCGCAGTGGCTCACGCCTGTAATCCCAGCACTTTGGGAAGCCAAGTGGGCGGATCACTTGAAGTCAGGAGTTCCAGACTAGTCTGACCAACATGGTGAAACCCCGTCTCTACTGAAAAATACAAAAATTAGCTGGGCATGGTGGCAGGCACCTGTAATCCCAGTTACTGTGGAGGGAGAATCGCTTGAACCCAGGAGGCAAAGGTTGCAGTGAGCCGAGATGGTGCCGCTGCACTCCAGCCTGGACAACAGAGTGAGACTCCATCTTAAAAAAATAAAATAAATAAAATAAAATGCCCATTCTATGGAATTTTCTTATGGCAACCTGAGCAAACTAATACAATTCATATAGAGATATATAGATATCATTAGCTCTCTCCCTCTTTCACACTCACACACACAGACACACGTGACATTTCAAAACATTATCAAAATATACAAAGAGCACCCATAAATCTTCAAAAAATAAAACAGAAAAAATGAACAAGTGTCTCAACTAGATAATTCAAAGAAGAATAAATCAAATGCCAATAAATACCTGAGAAGATGTTCAGTTTCATTGTGTTCTTTTGGGCGGCATCTGCTGTACTGGCTAAGCCCTATCTCCCTATCACTCCTTTGCATGTGATTGTCAAATCCAGCTCTCCTGCATTAGCAAGCCCACACCAAGTGCCTGGACAGTTCTGTACACAAGGTAGGCACTAAATAACTATTGGTGACAATGTAATAGTGTTCTGAGGTACACAGAAAACCATTTTTAAGGTAATTCAAGAAGCTATCATAATGGTTTTGAAAAATCATAAAAGAGGAAGAACAACTAGCTCCAGTAAGTAAGAGAGAAAACTGTTCATCACAAGTAATGAAAGAAATGCAAATCAAAAGGCAGTGGGGTTACTTTTTGCAAGTTTGCATAATATATATAACCAAAAGCTAGAAAGCTTTGCTACTTTGGGTGCAATAAAATGTATTTTTGGTCTGCTGATGGCATTGTCAATTGGCAAATACAATTTGGCAATGCATTGCTGGCCATAAACTTTAAGGAGAAAGTCAAACTACGAAAAACACCATGTGAAAGACAATGTCTACAATCATGCTACTTATGATAACAAAAAATCAGAAATACCCCCAAATGTCCAATAATAAAGGAATCATCACAGAAATTTCAGGACATTCACTCAAGGGAGTAATAAGTAGACACCAAAAATGGCAAATATAAAGACCAAATACCAACATAAAAATTAACATAAATGCACAACTTAGGATATAAAATTACATATGCACGATCATTATAGCTATGCAAACACATGCAAATAAAGAAAGACAAGGATGAATACAGGAAAACTTGTGTTGTCAGGACTTTTTTTCTTTTTTTTTTCTCTATTTCAAACTTTCTCAATCTTTGCACTGTGCATTTCTTGAAAAACTAATGTTTTGTTCAGGAAAACAAGACATTCATATGCACCTGGATAAGTGAAGTACAAACAATGCCGGCCATTTTAAAAAAGTAAATTGTAATGTCAGAATCCCAAAATAAAGACTTAGATATTAATAATAGCTGCTGACACTTCCTGAAATCTAAGTGCCAATAATGTGTTCAATGCATTATATGAACTGTCTCACTTAGTCTTCCAGTAAGCCAATGAGGGAGATATGATTATCTTTCCTGGCTTAACTTTTGAGAAGATGAGACCTAGAGAAGAGAAGTAACCCATCCAAGTGCATGTAAGCTCTGCAGTTACCAAACAGTTGTCACAAGCTGGCTAGCTGCCCCCAAAAGCCTGCATGCCTCCTCTTCTACACTGCAGAATTGTGGCTGAGAAAAAGCTGCCTGCAGAGCCAGGGACATTTCCCAGGGCTGCCCACTCCTTCCCCCAACCCATCGTCTCTTTTGCATCCAGATGGAGCCACCTTCCTAGAAGGCAGACAGCACATCTTGTAGCCTGTTCTTAGCAGGGCACACGCTGCTCTAGGGAGGAGAAACAGATCTATAAATCAGTCAGAAGTCTGAAACTAATATCAGCAACAGAAATAATTGCCCTTTTTAAAAAAAAAAAACTGTATTAAAACATACAATGGCAATACCATTCTTCACCAATTCAACTGCCAGCACTGAAAATACGTTACTTCCCAGAACTGAAGACAGCGTCAGGAAATGGGTAATTTCCTAACTTGCTGGTGATGAGTAAGTTGATGATTCCACCTTTCGTTGGGACAGTTTATTAACATGTATCAAGACTTCAAGAACTTTAGAATTCTTTAAGACTTTTGACCCAGGAGTTATTTTGGAAATGATCTTAATGAAATAATAAGTAATGTGAGTAAAGATATATAGCAATTGTATTGTTTCATCTCAGAAATTTGTATAATAGAGACTAGGAGAAACCACTTAAATATCTAGTTATAGGGAAGTAGAAAAATTATACTTTGGCTACACAATGAGTTACTATGTAGCTATTTTAAATTATGTTGCAAGAGAATATTTAATACCACGGAATGATTATGATACATTATACAGTGTGATTCCATTCTTATTGCATTTGTAAAAGCACAGCTATATCAGGCATAAATTTGCTCTTTCTGTGCAGGTGCAAGAACTATCACATTTCTTTTTCTAATTCGAATGAAATCTGGCTTAGAACCCCCATCCTACATCCTACGTGGCTGAAAGAGCCTTATTAAAGACAGTTGGGGCCCCCTCTCCCCATACCACACCCTGTACACATAGACATCTTCCTGTAGATCTTCTGACCCTCCCAATGCTTCTGGTGGTACCGAGAAATAAAAATGTGCAGGTTTTCAGGCCATGGTTGTTGCCTCTGCTGCCACATTGCCTCAAAATATACCTGGTATTGACAAGGGCTACAGTTCTGGAAGGAAGGTGGAAAGAGAAATGCCTTTCACAGTACTGGACTTGTCACAGGCTTGACTACAGGAAGCTTCTGCCGTTGTACTCAAAGTAGTGGGGTTGGTGTTCTGTCCTTAGAGATGCACCATCAGAGGTTTTGTCACTGTTGGCATGTGGGGAGGGGATGCAGGTGTTAGAAGACCTGCCATCATTTTCTCTTCTCAATCTCCCCTGGATACTTCACCTCTTTTCTAGGACCACTTTATTTTATTTTATTTTTGAGACAGAATCTTGTTCTGTTGCCCAGGCTGGAGTGTAATGGCACGATCACGGCTCACTGCAACCTCTGCCTCCCGGGTTCAAGCGATTCTCCCGCCTCAGCTTCCAGAGTAGCTGGGATTACAGGCATGTGCCACCATGCCCAGCTAATTTTTGTATTTTTAGTAGAGACAGGGTTTCTCCATGTTGGC